AGCACCCGTCTCGCCTCCTACCAGTTCGTGCGTTGGCGTCCATTAGCACATATAGTGTGTGGGCGTGTAGTTCAGTTGTGAGCACGGAAACGTGCTGCAGGGATTGTAGGTGTACCTCCTCGGGCTTGTGTACCGCCCTTTTCTTGCTAATAGTGTGTGTGTTCTTTAGATCTTCTGGTGTCTCTTCAGGNGATTGTAGGTGTACCTCCTCGGGCTTGTGTACCGCCCTTTTCTTGCTAATAGTGTGTGTGTTCTTTAGATCTTCTGGTGTCTCTTCAGGTAAATAGCATTTTTGTGACCACGGACCGAGTCTTTGCTAGATTTTGGGATTAGCAACTGACACGAGTGAGTGTGATGTGAAAACAACGACGACAACAAGTGGCGAGCGACGGCAGGGCGAGGTTGAGAAGGCAGGTTCATGACTTGTCAAACCGTTGACATACTGCTGTACCGCTTTCCCCCTACAACTGCATCACTATGAACTGCTGGGGATGCTACTCTGATAATCGATGGATGATACACACACGGTCGCCCCGGTGGTCTAGTGGGTGGCCTCGCAGCCTGCTAAGTAAGGGCCAGGTCATGGGTTCGAGTCCTGGCAGAGAGAGTTTTTTTCTCACTAAATAAATCCTGGTCTAGGATGAAAGCGACGCGCTGCAAAGAAAGCTCGTTTGTTAGTAATCCATAATCGACTTCGCAAGTCGCGAGGGAAGGGATTGCTGTACCCTTCTCGCGGTAAAAATACCTCAGGCATGAACCGCAGGAGGGGGGCCAACCCCCCCCTCCTATGTGACCCCGGTTGGGTCGTCTAGCTAGTAGAAGTGGAGGATAGGGGCCAGAGGGGCAGACGACAGAGTCCAATGATGGAAGAAAAACAAGCAAATAAACAAAAAAACCCGGTTCCGCAGCTGGCTACCGCCCGGAAAGAGTAGGGACCCGTGGGAAAACGTTGTCGTAACCCTACGAGCTGCTGTGGAAGGCTAAATAGACTACATACAGTCTATTTATGTTTCATGTGTCACGTTGCGTACAGAAGGATCCTGCTTTTGCAGCTAGCTGCTGTTCCTGTGGAACGAGCGCGACACTTGTCCCGCATGCTCCACAAGCCCGTCACCTATTTAGATATAGTCTATTGTCGATGTTCGCGCTTCGGGCTCTCTTTGTCTTTGACGAACAACACTACTTGGCATAGAGTATTCCACAGGGTATTAACGAACACCCCCCCTTTAACGAACACTTTTTTCAGATGCACGTCCCTGTGAGCACAATCCGCGGAGACCCCCATTTTTTTTTTTTTCTAATTTTCAGCTTTCCGTTGGCTTTCGTTTGAACACCTCCGCGTGTCGATCGGGTCAAGCACTCCCGAGATACAGCACAGACCTCACCCACACCCCTGATTTGGGGCATCTTTGTCCTTTTCGGGGTCCTGCTGTTGAGCATGGGACGTACGAGAGTAGACCCAGAGCAGGCCCAGAAGGCTGTAGATGCGGTACGCAGCGGTGAGATGTCGCTCCGCGTTGCTGCGANAGCACAGCCCTCACCCACACCCCTTATGTGGGGCATCTTTGCCCTTTTCGGGGTCCTGCTGCTAAGCATGGGACGTAAGAGAGTAGACCCAGAGCAGGCCCAGAAGGCTGTAGATGCGGTACGCAGCGGTGAGATGTCGCTCCGCGTTGCTGCGAAGACCTACGGGTTGCCGCTAGCCTCGCTTCACGACCGTGTGAAGAAGAAGGTGGCCATAGATGCGAAGGTTGGCCCCGGGACTGTCCTGAGCAAGGAGGGGGAAGATTTCGTAGAAGATGTCTTGATCTACGCCTCCCGACACTTCTTGCTGTTGGGTCGGAGGGAGCTGAAAGATGCTGTGCGCAACATCTGCAGCGACGGACGCAAGGTGCCCTGGAACCCAGACAAGGGCCCTGGGGACAGCTGGCTTGAGGGGGTTATGACGAGGCACCCGGGATTGTCGGAGCGAGCCACCCACATCAACGAAGCAAACCCGATTAACGAAGACGACGAGCGTCGCCTTGAAGCTTTCTACAAAGCATGGGCGGAGTACCTGGCGGAGACCAAGCTCCCGCCGGAANGGGTGTCAGCGGTGTCAGTATCGACTGCTGTGGGTTCGTAGGCGAAGTACCAGCAGCACTGCGATGTGTCACAACAACGCGGAGTTCTGCTGCTGCAAAAAAAAGACCCAGCAGTTGTTCCGCAAATCGTCCGAGCCGCTGCTGCTTGTCATACGCTTAGCACACAACACGCCTGCATGTGTATTGCTGGATCCGGCTGAGGATTAGCATGTAACAGTCCCTGCGGTCATCTCATTTGCACTCTGCCGCATGATAGTTTATGTACATCGTTTTTTGTTGTGGTGCCACCGGCAACAGCGGGCGTGTATTCTTCGTCCGCAAAATGCATGTGTGTTGCTAAACGATGCGCGAAGTGGGGACTAGTCACGTCCAGACTTCAGTAGAACGCTTTGTTGTTGTATACCCACCTAAGTTTGGAGCTCAATGTAAACTGCCATGGGTGTGGGGTTATTGATTCGTACCCAAAGTTTAAACGAATCCGACACTTGTTGCGCAAAGAAAATGGCCCGTCACCACTGCTGTGTGCCACCAACCGGAGCGAGCAGCACCCATGTGTGTTTGTACGCGCGTTTTTTTGTTGGTGTCTAGTGTAGTTAGTGTATTGGTTGTTCAACTGCCTTTACCCCCGATGCACGCGTGTTTCTCCCGTGTGCGTTGTAGGTTCGACCCCACAAGGTACAAAGTCGGGGAAGGCAATCGTCGTAACAGGCACCAAGGTACCCGGCGCGAGGCGTTCCAATTCGCGAGAAAATACGACGGTGGTCCCCACCATCGGTGCCGGCGGCCACACGTTCCACCCTACCATCATCTTCAAAGGCCAGCGTATGCAACCCGCTTGGATCCAGGACAACAACGGCGTCCCCGATGCGAAATACACCATCACGGAGTTCTCCTTCACCCAGAGCCACGTCTTCCTCGACTACCTTCGAGACCTCCGCCAACAGCTCGATGCGCGCGGCTTGCAGGGCAAAACTGCCCTTGTGCTCGACGGCCACGCCTCACACACGACCTTCGACGCCATCAGCTTGGCCCTCTCCCTGGACATCGACGCATTCCAGCTCCCATCCCACACATCGCACATCACCCAGCCCTTGGACGTCGGTACGTTCGGAATCTTCAAGAAGGAGATCACAAAGGTGCTCACGGCCTACCCGCTGAAAAACGGGGGGAGGAGTCCGGTGAAGCGCGACATGGCTGGCGTGATTGCGGAGGCATGGATAGGGAGCTTCACGCCCGAGAACAACATGGCGGCGTTGAAAGGGGCGGGCTTGTGGCCGGTGAACATGGAGAAAGCCATCAACCGACTACACAGCAAGAGGAAGCAACGGGACAATGACCGCCCTATTCGTGAAGACCTCGCCGTCGTTGCCTCTAAGGAGCAACTCGAGCGAGACCTCGGCCGCGCTGCCCTCCTGGAGCTGAAAAGACACGGGCTCGTGATCGAGGGGCTCCGTGTCAATACCATGTTCCTCGGCGGGCTCACCCGCCTCACCAAGCGCACCAAGGCTTTCGCGACCGTTCGGGCGGGGGGGGGGAAGCCCGAAGGTGGTCTGCTGTCCGCCGAAGAACATCTTGCTCAGGCCAAGAAGGACCAAGAAGCGAAGCAGGCAGCTGAGGAAGCAAAGGCGGCACGCGCGGAGGCAAGGGCAACGAAGGAGGCCAACCAACAATCTGGAGCAGTTGGTGGGCGGGGCGGCGGGCAGGGCGGCGGGCGGGGCGGCGGGCGGGGCGGCGG